AATCCAAAATAAACCCGACAAACAAACTAGATTTTACATTTAGGTCAAAAAATTTAAATAATCTACTAGACATGATGGTCAGTTTGGCCACCAGTGACCGATCATTAAAGTCCAAACTGTTGGGCGCGACTAATCCGACCATCATATGAAATACGCGTAAATCTGTGGGTTTTATACCATGTTTATAGTTGTAAACATTTAACGCCTGACAGGATATGGCAAAAATTGAGCCTAATATGCGAATAAAATTTACGGTGTATCCCGTACCGGTAAAATGATCCAGATCGTCCAGGTAAAAATGTAATTCGGGTAACACCATAACGCTTGGATTAAGGTAGAAATAAATACAAATAAAGTTTTTAATTAAATAATAGGCAAATACAGTGAACACGAGAATAGGATTATGTAATAAGTGGCGAGTTTTATATGTTTTGCATCGAAATAATGATAACCCAATGCGATAGAGATGACTGCCCGCATCCCTCACACGTATTTCTGAGGGTATGGGTTTACTTAGGTCAAAATTCATTGTACCCTGGTAAAAATGAAACTATTGTTAAAAGTATTTTACATTTACAACATTTAAATAACTGTGAATTGTATTGTGATGAACATGCTATATTTATATCGTTTGCTACAATGCTAATTAATATGATTGTTGATTGTCACAATAGTGAATTTTATAAACTCATATTTAACTTTAAAAGTCCATATTGAGTTCAATACTGCATAAATATTACAATTTAGCACATGCTAAGTACACATGTAACATTTTATCATATTCACTTTAATTTTAACATTAACAGTATTTAAATAAGTTATTATTAATTGTCTTATTATTGTCTTTAACTAAACAAAATAATAGGAAAGAACTTAAATATAATTACATGTTATTTTAATTAACAGCAATGAATTATGCTATTTTATAGAGTAAAGCAATTTAAATGATTTTTAATTAACTTAATAATTATAGTATACCCTGTATAAAATTTTACAGAATGTCAACATTATATTTACTCACTTTGAATACAATAAATTTTTAAAATATAATTATAAGGTTTTATTTTAAACACGATGTATCTTAATCATTATTTAAGTAAAATTACATTGCTAAATTTTATACACATTATTAATAATTTACATTAGATATTATTATTATGTTTAGTCCATTTTATTATTAGTATTATGTTAGTTTATTTTAAAAAGTAGCATAAGAATTATAATGAATATCTATGGTGAATGAATCAATATTTGATCATAGTTGCCATCTATGTCAATTCAACAAAATAATTGTTTAACAAAATATTTATTCAATAAATAAATATTCCGGGTTGTCTAGTAATCATACATATACACACTTAATAATGTATAAACACTTGGTTATTATCTCGTGTATTATTTACAATCTGTGAATAACATCTATTGCCATAGCAAAGCATACGTACAATAAATAGTAGACTACAGTTCAGTCTAATCAATGGCTAAATTAACATTTATAAAACTATTTTCTCATTATTTCTGCTATTAATACACATCCCATACATAGACACAGAGATTATGTAGCAAATTATTTTGTGGACATTTAATTTATGAGTTGATATTATTGTACTGTAGTTATAATTATTTACATTTTATGCAATTTTATAAATAAGTATCTTTTCAAAATGATAATAAATGTATAAATAAAATTGATTCTGTTTTAGTAAATCATATTTCAATTTATTAAATATATATTATAAGACGTGTATTAATAATAATAAATAAAAATAACTACAAAATGTGAATTTCATAGCAATTACATCATAAACCACATGTTTTACAATACGTGTCGATAAAAAACAACTCAAAACATTGATACTGTGCTACAAAAGTGCAAAAAACACCTTGAACAAACAACACCCATCGCAAAACAACACCACACACCCACACAACCGGCACCACTGATCCACCCCTCAAACACCAGCCCCTACAACACCCCCACAACACCCCCTCAGCCCAGCCATGGAGACACTGGACGCGGACGAGCACTGGGAATACGAGGCCATTAACCTATCGCTACGTAAGGCCGGTCTAGGGATGAGCATTAAGGGCGGTCTGGACTCACCGGACAGTTACGACTCGCCGCACATATACGTGAGCAAAGTGTTCACCGACGGCATGGCCTACGCCGACGGGCGGCTACAGTTGGGCGACATTATACTGTCGGTCAACGGCTTTCCACTCATAGACGTAATGCATTTTGAAGCCGTGGACGCCATCATCAGCGCCGGCACCGACATTACCCTCTATTGTAAGCGCAAACGTTGCCGTATATACGACAGAATACCCACCCCTCCCATCACTCCCACACCTCCAGCAACGCCCACACCTCCCGACACTCCCATACCTCTCGACACTCCCATACCTCCCGGTGTGGACCCCATTGTCGATGAGGTGGACGGCCTAATGGAGGTCAGGCTGGATAAGGGCTCCGGCGGTTTTGGTGTTTGTATTAGCGGTGGTGTGGATAACGAGCACCGGAAGGGCGACGGAGGCGTATATGTGACTAAAGTGGTGCCGAACGGTGTGGCCGATAGGGACGGACGACTGGCCAAAGGCGACCAACTGTTGGCAATCAATGACGTGAGTCTGGAGAGTGTGACCTACGAGGAGGCGGTGGCGGCCATGAGAAACAGCCCCCCGATGTCGGTGTTGACTGTGTTTAGAAAGTTGTGATCATGGTGGTTTTGTGTTTTTTTTACAAATATTGTGATGATTATTTTTGGTGTGTTTTTTAAATTGTTCTAGTTCAATTTTTGTGTTTGAAGTGTGTGCTGCCATTTCCGTGTCATTTATTATTGTAGAGAGTTTTAACGATAAAGTTTTTATCATGTTTCTATGGTATTTAATCTAATCGTTTTATTATTTACTGAATTATTAATAAATAAATTAGTTTATAATTTTGTATATTATGTTTACTTTATTAATAATGCATTCATTTATATTGTATATGAAAATATTTTGTACATTAATGCTTTTCACTAATTATTTTCAAACACAATTATTAGAGTTAATAAATTACTTTTTTATAATTTATTGATAATACAAGAGATTTGTTAAATATGATATTATTGTTAAACAATTTAGTTTATTACAGTTTTGATTGCAATATTTAATCAAGTTACTAAGTATAACTGTCAATATAAATCTGTCTCAAGTGTGTAAACTTAAATAACCATCCAGAATCTGAATTCCAGATAATAATATATCTAATTAGATCAAATACATATTTGCAATTGTGGTAGAAAATAATTATACAAAATTTATTGGCTGTTATATTGATTGAATTAATTAATAACGAGTTAAACAATTATATGAATCACAAAAACATTTGTTATTTAATAATTTTTTAAAGTTTAATTTCATTAATATACTAAAACTCAAAATAAATGGTAATAAATGTTTTATTTTAAGAAATTTTTAGCGTTTTGATGTTCATATGAAACATCTTTTGAATCGCATAAATAATTAATAAATGAAAACAAATAAATATTTTAATTGATATTAAAGTGATTAGAGAAAGTAAATATCAAAATAGCATTACTTTTGCGGCAACACTTCTGGTGATAACGTATTGATTACTACACGAAAAGCCAATTAATCGCTTCACTTATTATAGCTATTAATTAAAAAAATTAAATTTTTTATTATTATTTTAAGGTTGTTCTAAAATTAGCAAACAACTCCTTTAAAGTTAAATATAAGCCAAAATAGCCAGATCGTATAAAATATTTAAGTAACTATTTATATATTATTATTTATAATACTGATTTAAAAATGTTTAAAAATAATTTCATTTTTATTTAGCAAAAATCCTAAATAATTATTAATTTTTTAAAATTATACTGTATATAGCACATTTAGTGAAGTTTTTATTTAAAAATGTTATTTCTATTAAAATCAATAGATCTATTACTACTATCCATAGCATTCAGATACATCTTTTATATATTTTTAAATAAATTATAAAGATTAATAATAAAATAAATGTTGTGGTGATTTCTTCATATGATGCAAATTATAATCCATCAAATTATTGACACTGATATAGGTTGTTTAAAGATTTTAAATTAAAGGCCTAAATAAATTATTAAATTTATTCTCGTGTCGGCCACACATCTCTAAGTTTATGAAAAATTAATTTTTAACTATCAATGAAAGTAATGGCAATTTTAATGTTAAAATATGGGTTTCATGCATAACCATATTATCTATAGATATTAAATTTTTAATTATTAACATAACTAATGACCGGAATAAAAGTGATAAACATAATTTACTCGTTGTAATATAAAAATTGAAAGTATAGTGTTAAATACCAAACAAAACCTATTTTTATTCAAAGTTAACATAATTCTGAATTAATTTTTATGTGTCTAACAAAAATTAGTCTCAAGTTTTATAACTAAATTAATTTAATGAATTATATATTAAATATTGTTGTTAACTGACAATAGGGTTAAGGGCTATCCGTACTATGAATACAAAATTGTACACTAATTGTCAGGACATGACATGAAATATATTTAATTATCAAACATGGTAGCATTAATTTAGACGATGTAATTTTATAGAAAATTAATTATGATAAACAATCCAAAAGTAACTTTATTATTAAATGTATTTAATTTATACTCATTGCGCATAAATTATTACCATCGTTAGTTTTCACTAAGTTATATAATTAAAGTACGATGACGGCCCCTAATGCTAAGCTGGCCCCGCTGGCCAGGTCTCCATTTAACATAATATGAATTATTTGCAATATAAGGTCCTTATATAGAACTAAAGACAAATAATTAAAGATACATCAACAAATAATGTTTATATCATAAATAACGTACAATAAATGTAATACATTTTTAATATTCCAAATAACTTTTTTATCTGATATCCGAATTACGAAATTCTTTCAGATCCCTATTCCTTTCATCAATTCCTTTCCATTGATATATAATATGACACATATATCACTCAAATAAATTTTTAATTAGAGTAAATTTTCTCGATAAAAGTGGTCACTACTCCCGAACCCGATATCTTAGGGACATATGGACAACATTTTCAAAAACCCCTAAACATGGTCTATCGTTCCCATATTAAATGATGACCAGGCCAGCGGGGCCAACGTTAGCATTAGGGGACGCCATCGTACTTTATTAATGTTACAAATTAAAAAAATTAATATATGTAATTACATATTTTTATGATCTTTATATATTTTATTATAATTAAAGTTCTATAATTATAAAGTCATATACACGTCAAGTGAAATATTTTAACTAATTATGTCCAAGTTTATTTGTGTTCTATTAATCGCAGTCATCTGTATTACTGTCATTGATTTAAATTCAAACGGTTTGTAATTTATTTATGTTTTATTTAATACAAATATTGTGAGTATTGAATAATATATTTTTATAAATAAATATTGTATTGTTATTGATGAATAATTAATTAGTTTTTTAATTTAATTAATTTGTAACCACAATTTATATATGAGTTATAATTTTTCATAAAGAGCTTAACTTTTACATTAGGTTTAGTCACAGCTAAAGTCAAATTTTTCAAATAATTGATTCAATGGTTGAAATCGATGTCATAGTAATAATTAAACCTAATGAAAAAGTTAAGCTCTTTATGAAAACACATAAAAAATATGACGAAAGTGGTTTATAGGATCGTTAGGCAATGATAGTTAATAAAATTAGTTGTTTATTAATAATTATCCTATAAAACATTAAATTTTAGCGCGTTTGGACTGAATTCATGTCTATCTATAAAAATAATGTAAATCTTGCTCATCTATAAAATGATGTTTTTAAACTTAATCAGGATATTACCGAAATAGCATTTACACGGTATTGAAGGGGTATTTGCGTTATACGAGTTGGTATGTATGGGTAGAGTGTGGCCACAAAATGTATATTTAGAATTCTCTCTCTAATTCTATAGTATTAAATATTGTAACCATTTAAAATCAGTTAATAATTATTAAGTAATTAGACTTAATAAAATTAGGCAGAAATTAATATAAAACAATTGTTTCAAAGCAATATTACATGCCAACTTTGTTTTGTTTAAATATTATAATATATTTGCATGTACCAAGTTGTTGTTTTCAACTATTTAAATACAATGCATTTAACATATATTAAATAGATTGTAAGTGTGGTAATCGTGTTGGCATCTGGTGTGGCGAATGGGCCCGTCTGTATAAAAAAGACAAAAGCGTTTTACATACGCTATCGGGTGACTGTAATTATAAACAACTTTACCAATGCAATGGTGGTCACAAAACCAAACCAGAGCCTGGTGAAATATGCGGTGATAGATGCGAAATTGGCAAAAACTCAGCTGATTCATGTAAAGGAAAGGCTGGACAGGTTGAATCAGACAGTAAGTGTAGTGATGATGGTGGTCATATTTTGTGGCAAATTGTGGTATAATGTTATGATTAAAAAAACAAAACTTATAATTGATAATGTTTTGCAAATATTTTAAAAACTTTATTTTATACAAGCACATATTTAAAAATATTAACCCATAACTGAACTTTATACACGCTAAACATTTGTGATAATTATGTGACTAATATAATATTGTAACTATAGAATAATTTCATGTCTCATATCTGAATAATCTCATAAAAACATTGATATTATATTCCTATTAATTAATAATTAATAACTTCGAAAAACGAGGAGTGGGAGAAACGTGGGTACGTTAGAGATGCCGTCAATTACATAGAAAGAGATAAATAATCAAACAAACCGCGCAATTGTAACCTTATTAAAGATTCTCTCTCTCTCTCTCTTTTTTTTCTTTCTTTCTCTCTATATTGTCCAATGTCTTGACGAAGGTATCGTCAAGTCCATAAAAATTCAGATAAAATTTTTAAAAAAATAAATTAGATTGCTTGTTAGTATGTCTTAAATTCTATGGTATTTTAAAAATGTTGTATACGAGTGCTTGATGAACTTCAAATGTTGTGTATCAGAGCGGTTAGAATAACCTCTCTTTGGTAAACTATTCCATAATGAAAACCTTCCCATTATAAACGGATTTATAAAGATATCGATAGAATTTCAACTCTCTTTTAGTGTTGCCAGGTCATTTTCCTTATTTACTTGATATAATCATTTTTTAAATCAAAATTTTCAGGGAGATTCTTTGAGATTTTTTAAAAAAAAATTCATTGATTCTTTCTTTGAGAGTATAATAATCTTAAAATGTTTAAACTCAAAGTAAAATTTAGATACAAATGATTTTTTAATTTTTTATTTAAAATTATTAAACTCATTGTAATTTTAAACAAATTAAATATTGTAAATTAAGTGGAAGAATAAGTGAATTTAATAATTTTAATATTTAATTTTAGGCCAGGTTTTCAAGTAAAAATTGCACATTATATAAATGTATTTATCATCATGCTATTTCGTATCATAGCTCCCCATATCAAGTTGAGACCCCTCCGAGACGGGAGTCAGATTCTCATTCCGGGAGATTACCGGGCAACCGGGAGCTTTTTGCAACACCTCTTATTGTCACAAACAAATATAATCATAAGCACATGATTTGTAAAGTATTCAAAATATTTTCTAATCCAAGAATTTAAAAAAACAAATAACACATTCTCATTTATAGTTTCATTCAATATTGCAAGAGTTGTGATA